GAAAGCAGCTCCAGGAGCACTGAGGGAAGGGCAGGGATCTCCAGCCCCTCTCAGCTCCACGTGCAGTGGCATTTGCCACTCTGCAAGCCAAAATAAAAGGGCAGAAAAGGGGGGAAAATAAAATATAGAAAGAAGCTGATGCTGTGGCAGGAGGGACAGGGAACACACAGGGAGCTGGGCTTGTTCCTTGGCATGGTGATCCAGACACAGGATCAGCATTTCCAGAGCAGCCCTGGGGAGAGGTGCAGAAAAGCACCAGTTAAACAAAATACCTTGAAAAAAATCAATTCAGTAAATTCCATATTCCCCAAGAAAGCAGAATATGACCAAAGTTACAGATTCCACAGAATCCCAAATCCCAGGGCTGGCAAAGCCCTCCCAGCCCAGGGAGTCCCAGCTGGGCCCCATGCCCACCTTGTCCCCAGCCCAGAGCACTCAGTGCCACCTCCAGGGGACACCTGCAGGGATGGGCACTGCAAAGCTCCCTGGGCAGCCCCTGCCAGGGCCTGAGCACCCTTTCCATGGGGAAATTGCTGCTGCTGTCCCAGCTGAGCCTGCCCTGGCCCAGCCTGAGGCCGTTCCCTCTCCTCCTGTCCCTGTTCCTGGAGCAGAGCCCGACCCCCCGGCTGTCCCCTCCTGGCAGGAATTGGGGACACTGGGAAGATCCCCCTGAGCCTCCTCTGAGGGGAGCTGGGAGATGAAAATTGATGGAATCGATTCCTGATTTCTTCCTGCACCCACTCCCAAAAAGAGACATTTACACACCAGGTAACCAACATCAACCCCCAAACTCTGCAATTCCCACATCAAGCTGAGATGACAACTTCACTCCTGGAAGGTTCCTTTTGGTGACAGAATTTAATTCCTCACTCCCACCTTGAAGCAATGACACAAACCCAGTCAGTGCCCGTGCAAAGGTCCCACTTCTGCCCCAGGGCTGGGTACAGCCTTTACCCACCTGTGCAGGTGAGGCTGGCCTTGGAACAGGGAGTCACAGCTCCCTGGATTTTTAAAATTAGGAATACAAATGAGCAGATAATTAAAATGAACCTTATTTAACCCAAGTTTCCCACAGACATCAGTTCACCCCACCCTAAAAATTTCACAACTTTGCATCAGGGAAGAATAAATTCCATATAAAGATGATGCCAATGGGGATATCCTTAAAAACACATCATTTCTCATTAGAAAAAAATAAACCAGATCAGGTCTTTCCTTACAAAATACTATTTTCTTTTATAAACATTTTGATTCGTTTTTGCAATAAATAGTTCATCGAAGTTAATTAGTATTATGTATAAATATGACATTTCATTTTTAGTGTCCTAATCAGTGCCAGAATTGCTACAACTCCTAAGGGAGCCACAACCAACAGTTGCAAAAGTTACGGATCTTTTATTTCCCCATTTAGAGCCAAGTTTCTTGTACTTAAAAAAATAAAATTATTCTGTCAAAAGTCTGTGACCCCGTGTTTGTCTATGGATTTTTCCTGCTGGAGAACAATGAGATAAACCCAAAAGTCCGTTTGCTTCTCCTTTTCCAAGGAAGAATGGGGAGGATATTTAGGCTTTTCCCGAGTCGGAGTCTCCTTGTGCAGAGTCCTGAGGGAGCTCTGGTGTCCCGCTGGCCTCATCCCCACTCCCTTCACGGAGGGTTTGGGGTTGCTCTGAAATCACTGTCAGCTTGTCACAAACCAGGAGCTCTTCTTGTGGAAGCAGAGGGAAAGGCTGTGGAGCACTGGGAGGCTTGCTCAGAAACTGGGAAACGAAGAGGAAGTGAGGATTAGGTCTCTCCAGCTGTCCCATCCTGTTTGCTCTGAAACACTGGCATTATTAAACAACATTGGGATTGTTCTGCACACATCAAGTGGACTTCTCAGGCCCTACAAGTCCCACAGGGCCAACAGTGTCATTTCCTCCCTAAAATCCTGTTCCAGGCTTGGGTGCAAGAGGGAAGTGCCTTTCAAGAACAACCCCAGGGCTCAGAGTCTTGTTTGGGACAGAAACTTGGAAAAAAAACCAAACAGTTTTGATTGGGAACAAACATTCAACAG